CTCTGTTCATCTGATGAAAAGGCATTAGGGCAGCGCTCCAGTCGGCCCCAGCCAGGTCCTGTAGAAGCACATCAGTGTTCGTTCGACCATGGATGTGCATGTTGTTTCTCTGTTTTTTCCTCGCGTTCTATGTTCGGTGTAGAAGTGGCCAAGTGGGCCATTGCAGGGGCTGGGCACGATACCCGTGTGTTGTATACGTTCGGGGGAGTTTGGCTGACAACCACGTCCAGTGATGATTCAGTTTCACTGGGCAACTGGAGCGCTAGTGCGTATACAATCTGGGTTAGCGGGAGAAGTCTCAACAACTGACGAACTTGACGCACGAGATGTCTGGCTGTCCTCGTGCATCTAGTTAAATATGTGATGGTCCATGGCCATCGCCGACCGCACCCACTGTGCAATGTACGAGAGAAAGATCCCATCTTCGACACAATCGCATGGCCCTGGACTCTCGGCACCCTCGTTCGGCACTTAGACGGCTTTGTCACGTTTTGGGGGCTGATATTCAACCGGTTTGTCCCGTTCTTCGATAAGACGTCGAGGCAGAATAACGCAGCATGCTGCAATATGTAACGCATGGAAACATTGCTGAATAGTGACAAAACACTCGAACAATGCCACAACACTAAACCAGAGTCAACAAAACATCGTAACGCCATGCAAAAGCGGAGCTCCAAAAGTGTGCACATCAGTCAGTTGCACTTAACCAAACATGACATCACAGGTTTCAGTTTCTTTTCCATTGAAAAATGAAATACTTATGAACAGCCGTCATTGAAATTATGATATTTTTGAGCTCCTGTTTTTAATGTGCGGCACTCGTTCTTATACTTGGGCTCAAGGCTCAAGAAAGTTGGGGGTGAGGCAAACTCACAGTTGGGAGGCCAACTTTGACATGGAGTGGGTGGATGGGGGAGGGGAGGGAGCAAATGACCCACCCAAAATATTACAAATTGACACCCGTGGTAAGGAACGTTTTCCGGATTCGCGTCTTTTATTTTCAAGCAGCCTTTCTCAACTCTGTCACCCTTTGACGATAAGCAGTGAGGACAACTCGAAATTTTGAACATCGTCAAATTTATTGTCATTTTGCACTGCAACGCCGGGTAACCAGTACCACTCAGTATACTTTAGGCCGTTAAATAAACATTGAAACTTTGCGCATAATTTTTGTCGTTGTTTCATAAAGCTATTTTAAGTTCTCTTGAATAACGAAAAAAAAGCATTTTTCTCTGGTACAACTGACAACGCATGCGCAGTTACGTTCAGTACAGTTCGCTTGTTTGTGGTAGGTGGAGGTGGAGTGGGACGCGGAGCGCGATCGAAAATTTGTTGTGCATCAGTGTTTCTTTGGTTATAAGTTGTTTTCTAGCGAATAGTGTACCAACATGTCGACGTCGGATAACTTCTTAGTCATCGAGCCTTCGCAGGAGTTGCGATTCAAAGGTAATGCGTGTGCGCCAGTTTCGCCGATAGGTGTGCTGCAGTTGGGGATGGGCACAAGTTCAACTATATCATGGTTTTGTGTCCATATTTGACGGTAAAAAATATCACTTGAGATTATTTTAAAGGGTGCTTCGCTAGCTATGTTGCTGAAGTGTTTTGATTGAGAGATAATGAGCAATGTCTCCCAGCAGGCTTTGCATATTGGGATGACATACATTTATGAAATGTCCGATTGTAAGAACATAATGTGCAAATGGTCGAGATCTTTGCAGCAGAAATAAGATCCAAGCTCTTACTTAAAAGTGGTTAGAAAGATACTTGAGTATCATTTGATACCAGGAAGATCTCTGACATGCTATCAGTAAGATCAAAATTACCATTGATTCAGTAACATTACTTGATGATGATGATGATGATGATTTGGGGTTGTAGGGCGCATCAACTGCCATAGGTCATGCAGTGCCCATAGTAACATCTACTTACTTTTACATAATTGTGCAGCTTTAGAGGCAGGTTTAAAGAATGTAGTTTGGTCAGAGAAAAGTTGGAGAAAGGCATACTTCAAAAGTTTTCTTTACTTTATGACTGCTTTAATCTCAAGTAACTAGGAAATATTGTTAGCATGGTTGTTTTGCAACTTAATTGAAGATCAAATAATGAGCACTATTGGTAGCATGGTTTATTGCCATTTGGAACATCAAAAGCATGCATGATGGAATGGCTCCACATTAACCCACAGGAGCAAAAAGGAATGTTTGTCATGTGCAGACAGACCCTTGACTCATTTTGAATTCATATTTGTGAATATATTCATGTACAGCTTTCCAGAGAGCTGAGGGCAGTTGCAAAGGCAGGATAATTTTAAGAGACCAATGAAATGGACATTATTGTTGCAACCAATTTGTGATATTCATTATTGTCTTTAAGGGTTTCTGAACAACACTTTGTTATCTCAGCCATCAGATGTGATCAAAGCTTGTTGATTTGCTTTTTGTGTTCTGTCCTTTAAAGATTTCCCATGATTGGAACTGATGTCTTTGTCTGGCAGACACATTTGAGTTTGCTGACTTGTCATTTTGCTATGTTCATATATGTTGCACAGGTACGCTATTTGACCATTTCAAAAATATCAGCTGAGTGGATGTATCAGCTTTGTCATGCATGGCATATGTGGATGTAACAATAGGCCCTTGGATGTTGAGTATAGTTTTCTGTTGAAGTGTTGTATAGAGAATTTAACAGCAAATGACTTTTCAGGCCCATTTAAAGATGAAGTGTCTAGCAGTAGCTTGACCCTTACCAATACATCAGACAAGAAGATCACTTTCAAGATCAAGACCACTGCACCAAAGAGATATTGTGTGCGACCAAACCAGGGTATAGTGGAGCCAGGAGCCACAGTCAACATTGCAGGTATGAGTGGTATTGACCCTTTTGCATTCTGAGTGCTAGCTTGTACAATATGTTTGTTTTGGGCACTCAACCCAGATTATCATTGAATATACTGTGAGGGAAAATCACATGCCATGATGCCACAGATTTATGTTTCTCCAGTGTGGACAGCTATTTAAACTATTCATCTGTTTCCTGTGTCCAATATTTTTTTGGTGTAAAAACTGATCATTTTTTTATTATTTATAACTTGTTTAGGCACAATGTGTTTCTTACAATAATTTGGGACCAAATTGTTGGAGCCTGCATTTTATTGTGTTTTAATAGCAGTTTATTGACAACTAAGGATGACATTTTGAACAGGGCCTGTGCTACAGTTGCACCCCTGTAATCAAGCCCATAACCTATTTCAGATGCAACCCGATTATCCAATCAATTTAGTGTGAAGGCTTCAGGGTGCTTAGAATTAAGTCATGAATATCACAATATTAGAACACTGTGTGGACCTGCTGTAACTGAACTGTAAAATTAGGGCTCAGTTGACTGAGTGTTTGTGTTGAATTATCCAGAGAAACCTTTGCATGCATGTAAGCACCAATCAGCTTCAAAATCCACACCAGGTGCAGATGTTTGCATGTAGGAGATAAGATTGGGGGCCTCATGACAGATGCAAAGGTGGGTGTCTACTTTTTATAGAGAGAGAGGTGAGCTATTTTGTCATTATGCAGTCATCATGAGCCAGCTGTTAGGAATGGTGCTCAACCAGCCTGAGGTGACTTGCCCATGGTGTTGTGTTGTGTTGTGTTGTGATTATATTTTTCTGTCCTGTTGTTAAATGGCACTGGACATGGTGCTGAACCTGGCTGAGGTGGCCATGTAATGGTATTACATTGCATTGTGATCATGTTTCCCTTGTCCCATCATTCAAATGCTACTGCCATTTTCTGTTTTGCAGTAATGCTTCAGCCATTCGATTACGATCCGGCGGAGAGAAAAACAAACACAAGTTCATGGTACAGACGATGTTCCTGCCTGAGGGAGAGGAGGTGGAGTGGAGACCCTGGTATGTTAGTTGGGGATCATTGCAGCTCTTATGGACTTCAGCACTCACAGAGATTCCTAGCATATGCCACTGTTTTCACTGGAAAAAGAACATTTGTGTTTTGATCATGTGTCAGTAAGTCATGTCACTGAAACCCCATGATGTCACAGTTTATCCAAAGGTGAGTTGGACATGTGTTTGCCCATAATATTGGAGGTACTGGTGAAAACTAATTTTGGCACAACCATAATGTACATTCATGAGGTACCTCAGGCAATGTTTGAACATTTATGTCATCAAGGTGGATCTGTTGAGGTAGGTACTGTGATACCCATGTTTCTGGCATGCATTTAGATTGCAATTTATTTCATTTGCATGGTTCAGACATATGACCCCTTGATTTATGTCATTGCTGGATGAAGGCCAAGAAGGCTTACAGCATTCCTGTCATTGGAGCTTCTGCAAACACTTATTACACACTCTGAGGAGGAAATGTTGTCATGATCTTCAGGCTTTTACCTCCCTGCATTGCATAAAAGGAACCAATCTGTGATTTTGAGATTCTAGCAGACCAGCGAGATGTTCCTGGAGGCAGATTGGTGCCAAACTCATGGGAGGGAATGATTAGATGGTCTGCATTTAGAGCTAATGTGCACCTTTTTGCTAGAGACTGGGAAGGCCCTAGAACTCTGTGCCTGTTGGTTGGTTGGCTTGGTTCTTGCGATGTTGACGTGATGTGCGGATACGGAGAAGTGATTTGTGATGTGGAGAGAAGTTATTTGTTCGCTTTTCCTCTGTGGGAACTTAGATCGGGTGCAAGCCGGAAGGATGGCAGTGAACAAAACAGCCAAAATGTTTTTTCAGGGATTTTGCTGCCTGAGATAGTTGTACGCGGCTGCAATGCAGAGTATGTAAGACATTGATTGGGCGCGTGTAGCTGTCACAATGCCGGTGGCCGTCTTCTTTATCATAATAACTACGGTGACGTCTGAAGCCCGATAGGCGAGGATGTAGAGTCCGGGGGCCACCACCCATATGTTTCTGGGTTAGATCTGCTGCCCTGGTATGTGTGCAGGAAAGCCGGAACTGTTCAGGTATTGCCTGTAGCTCGGACACCTCACCGTGCCGAGCATGATTGACATGCTGAAAGCAAGGGTTGGGGAGGGGGACGAGTGCTTGGTTATTTCCTGTGTAACAGGAACAGATGTTTCCAGATGTTCAGTTCATGAACAGATGGACCCATTTGTTCGGTATGATATGGCTGGGTATTGGCTGAATTCTACCGAAAAGGACAACGGTACATCGACTGCAAACAATAAACGAGCATCGATATGCTGGCCTCGGTTCGCCTCTTGAGCTAGATGTATTTATGTATTTGGGCCCAGCTCAACAACTTTATTGTACAGTGTTGGAAAACTTGACATTTCCTGGTATAATGTATACCAGGAGGTTTCCTACTTCAGGATTGTGACTAGGTCTAATTAAATATTTTGTACTCCATCATGATGCAACAAAAACAGCCTTTGGAAAAACTCATTTTACCTCTTTGTGTCAGGAAAAAATAAAACCAGAAGGTGCGACGGCTTGAGACTTGCTGCTTCCATCAGAAGCCATGTATTGATATCTGCAAGAGCACAAATTGTGTACCCACCAGACTAAGATGCCCAATAGGAAGCAGCCTGTGTCGCTTTCTAGGTATGTGATAAACCATGTATCAAAATGTGAAAAATAAAGCATGTGAATGTTCAATGGAATCGCCTTTGAACAATACTGGGAAATGAGAAACGAGTACCAGAATCACACAGGTCTTTAGATTAGCAAAGCTCTTACTTCCTATGCCCTACGCAGACCAACTCAAACTTGAACATGGCTTAACCTACCATTGACGAGGAGCCGCATTAATTGCCAAGGATGCAACAAACGTTCATGGAAAACCGCATACCCAGTTACCTACCACAGACGGCCGCCTACCCACGCGCCACCGCTGTGTCATAGCAATACAAATAACAGAATCAGTCGCAATTCGGCGTCGGAAACATTTCAACTATTCAGCGGCTCGCGCCCGCCTCCCAGCTCAGGTTGGAGGTTGAACATAGTAAAACTCCCCGATTGTTTTCAATGAGTCACCTCCTCGTGACTGATTTGTCAAGAGCATAAATATTCTGCTCACGCTCATGCCTTGAACAGGTTCGTAAACATGTGGAGGGATGTATAGAGATGGACATCATGATTATGAAGGACTTATTTGCACTTATCCAGAACCGCCATGTGGTTGGATTTTGGGTCACTTCCTGGTATCTGGAGTACAAAAATGTTATGTCAGTTGTGGATTTAAATCAAGTTGAATTTGTCACTTAAGGGTGTGAAATTAAAGCTGGTAATTCAGGCTCTGCGAAAACCTTTTAAGTCGAAAAACGTTGCTATAGATAGCCAAAAAAAACTTCGGAGACAGCCATCTCACTCCGGCAAAAGCACCAGGACACCAGAGTAGCATGAGCCCATAACTTTGGCTCGGCAAATTATGGAGAAGGGTTTATTAGGACAAAAACATTAATTAATTGCAACCTAAATGATCATATTTCACAACAGTAGCGATTAAAGCGCATCAAAATCCATGAATACCTTGCATTATCCGCGGGAATCAGCGGAGTGACTGACTGATCCCTTTGGCCGGCCTACACGGGTCTGTCAGGCATTGTACTTGCGCTGGGTCGGTAAATGGCTTAAGAGTGTTGCCTGTCTCTATTTTTCGGATGGGACGTGCAGGGCCTCGTGTGTTGGTCGGTAGTGGGAAGGTGGAGGACATGTATGTTTAGCTGCTTTTAAGACCAGTTTGCTGGTGGAGCGTGAGTAGTGCGACCGTGGTGGAGTGGTAGTAGTGTGATCATGGTGGAGCATGAGTAGGTGGCCGTCCGTGGCATGTTCATTTGCATTTTTTTGTGTACCATTTTTGTCTGGCTGTGGGTATGGTACCCACCCTCCATTTTGGAGGGTGTATAAGCCGGGTGTGTAGCCACCCTCCATTTTGGAGAGTGTATCAGCCCGATGCGTAATTACCCTCCGTTTTGGAGAGTGTATACACAGAGCCTTTCATAAATTGCAAACCAATGTATATGAACATGTGTTTCATCGCACAGGGTATGCGATCGTGTTGTTTCCAGTGTGCCATGTTTAATGCTTATGTTTTCTTTCCTTTAAAGTGGTTTTGCATGAATTGCTGCGTACGAAAAGTGACGCTTTTGTTGAGTGCTACCCATTGTACTGTTATCTCTCACTGTAGAAAATTTGTACTCCGCTACCACGAAATATTTTGGAATTCCGAACACTGCCATTGTATATTATGATTATGTTCGCGTTACATTTTTGACATTAACCAGCTTGAGCCGATAGTACCAGAAATGGTTTGAAATCAATGCTGGAAGCTAACGCAATTCACGTGGGCCATGAAAGCTCATTGCTGGACGGGTTTACGTGGCCCAGAAGCATTGCCCGATTGGCGTGAAACTAATTGCTTGAATTACTGTGTTTGGGCAAATATAAAGAGCAATGTGAAGAGCTTATGAAATGTGTCCCTCAGTGCGTAGGCAGATGTACTGCAGTGAAGGGGCTCTTCGCCGTCTGTTCTTTATTTTGCCTATCGGAGATGGGGCCCCTCTGTTCGCTGGCAGGTTTAAATGGTTTTGCTAGTCCTCTGGGATGAGTGCAAAGCGGTGTTATCAACCCATAGAGGAGCGGTATTGTGCAGACGTTGGACTGACCGAGTTCGGTGCGGCTGGTTTCAGTGGAAGACTGCCAGTCCGGAGCAGATCATGACCTCGAACAAGATGCGCTGCGTGTTCGAGCTGCCGGCGGATGCACAGGAGGATCTGGTCAACAGGGTGCGTGCGGGGGTCACGTCGCCCCGGTGTGCCGCGCGGCCGCGGCCTGTGCCTCGGCACAACCTGTCGGCCCCTGGTCACGGCGGCTGGAAAGTTTTGTGTGCATTTTCCCAGCGAATGTGCAACGACATGTGCTGGAGTATGTTTAATAACCGATAGTGACGTACAGAAGCGCTCGACGACGTCTGGGTCGTCACAGTAACCTGCGGGGTGTTCCGTGCCGTATGTGGCATCGTAGCATCGTAAGTAACAGCTTCCCACCCGCCGTGTGCTGCGCACCACTCCTCGGCGCAGGCTGCGAGCGTCGAGCGTTGTGCCGCTTGCGCGAGGCGCGATGAGTGCCGTCGTCGTCGCTGCCGTCGGCACCGGGGCCAGTGGCTTGACGGCGGCTCGCGCTGACCGGCAGCCGGAGCCGAAGGACATGAAGATGGCGACGGAGGAGCTGCGCAAGCTGCGGGAGGACCTGAGCAGTGCCCGCGGCGAAAATCTACAGCTCAGGGTGAGTGCTCGGGACGGCCGACTCCACCGCCGACTCCGCGATGCTTTCCGCGACGCCCTCAGTTGTTTGCTCTGTTTTACGGAATGTTCGTGACACATCTCTGCATTTGTGTTGCGGCCAGACGGCCCAGCCTCAGGCAATAAGGATCAACCTCGCGGTTGGGAAGTGACATTTCTTGACTTAACGGTCGTGGGCAGTCCTTCTGAAAACTCACAATGAGTGCTTCATTGTGCTGCCATCAGGATCAGATGTTGATTTTTGTACTGAAGGCAGGTATGTAGACTAGAATGTTGCCGAGGTTTCTGTCAAATAATTATTTCTTCACACTTTGCACTGAAATATGCTTGTGCAGACTACACAGGTGAGTTTGTCCGCGTGGGATCGTCAGGCGTCACTTTGACATCGCCTGATCATTGGCAACAGCCGTATTCGCCGCTTGAGACGGCTCGATCATGGTGCGATGACAGGGTATGTGAGATATGTGCTGTGCTGCACTAGGCCCAATGCCGCCGCCGGTGGTGTATCCCTTTATTCCTTAATTGAATAAAAGGTCGTAAAATTGTCGAAGACAAAGATAATTGATCATTTGTTGTGCCATTCTTCAAGCTGAATAATGGCAAAACCATCTTTCTTTGTATGCGTCGGTGTATGTGGTCGTCATCTTTCTTAAGTGGCTTCTGGGAGATGGCGAGATGCGGGTGGGCTACTTTTTCGCACCATTCCACAAGCGTGCGCGGTCGGGTTTGATGCCGGATGTCGAACCTGCGCCCATACGGCGCCTCTTCCGCGGCTGACCGTTAAGCTACAATGCTAATCTTAAGGAGCTGCCCGAGTTGCTGAGATGAGCTGCACCCGTCTGGGCGACTGCTGTTGAAAATTCAAGTGCATTGTTCGCACGTCATGCTCAATAATTTAAGAAATTGTTGGAGACGGGGTTAACAAGCCCGATCCCTCCCAGAGCATCGGTTCACATTGTAAGTTTACTTCGTTTGTGTTTGCGTAGTGTGGTGCCACCATTACGTCACTGCGGCAGAGGCGTAGAAGTGACAACACGAATCATGAAGACACATCGCAAGATCGTGTTGGTAAAAGAATCTGCGATATCAGCGGCAGGTCATTGGCACTCTAGCGCTGGCCGTGGATTTGCCTGGGTCCAACCGTGTAAAAGATGTGTGTGGTTTCGCTGACCAGATCGGATGCGTTTCTAAATTTAACCGCACTCTTTAATAGCTCAAGCCGACTGCGATCCACGCGGCGATTTTGATGCTGCTTTTCGCATGAGTGCGTCGTTTATCGATCATGAAGGTATTGGCGAAGTCCGTGTTTGATGCACTCCGCCAGTGTGTAAGTCGAGCGACGGCACCACACTTATGTGGCCGATCGGTCAGCTGTAGCCTCACTGAACCCTAATGCAAAGCTAGTAAATTTTCGTGCCGTGCAATGGTTGTAAAAAGCACCTCAAATTCCATGATTTTGACCTGTTTTTAATTCATGTTGGAATAATTCAAATTGGCTGAGCGGGTTCTGGGATAGCCTGGGAGAGGGAGGGGGGGGGGGAGAAGGGGGAGTATACACCAGCTCACCAGTGGTGTGTGGTCGCGAACGCCAATGGCGTCACGAACAGGCAAAATGCAAGGCCATTGTGTGTAAACATGGGATAAGAACATGATGTAGTCAAGTTAGGAGAGTGGATGGGAAAACGTGGAGTCCACAGGAACGATGTCAATTTAGTCTGATGTTATGATGATAGTATTTATTGCTTTTGGGCGTGTTGACTACGTGGCCATTTTGCGTCCTTAGTCTTATGATAGTCTTTTGCTGCATTATGGTAGGCTTGTCAATTCAGATATTGAATGTACAAGCCGAGAATCAGATACAAGCCTTAAAACAATCATTTCCAAATGCCGTCGGTCCCGCCGGATCTAACACCGGTCCTGCCTCACTGGGTAATCCCGGTCCCGCTGACCCTGTCACTGTTGGTCCCACCGGTCCTACCTCACTGGGTACTACCTGCCCTGTTGATCGTGTCGCCGCTCCGCCGGACTAGACCACTAGTCCGGGTGAGCGCAGCCTCCACCCCTTGCCTCTGGGCAGTGTCACACTGGCCCTGCTGAGTTGGAGGGTTCCAACAGTCCTCTCGAGTTCTGTTTTGCCGCCGTCAGTTGTAGCTGGCCCCGCTCTGGCCGTGTCGAGTGTGTGGCCGCGTGTGAGGCGGTCAGCGACAGCGGCAGGCTGCGGTGTGACTGCCGTCGCGTCCGGCGGCCCCCGCTGACTGACGCACCCTTGGCCGTTGCAGGAGGAAGGCATTCGATTGCGGCGCCAGCTGTCGAGTGCGGCCAGCGCGCCGGGCAGCGCCGCTGCCGACGCCGCGCCCGCCGACACCACCATGTACTATGTGATGGCCGCCGTGGCGCTAGTCATCGGCGTCATCGTAGGCAAACTTGTCATGTAGACCGGTCCGATCCGCCGCCGCCGCCGCTGGCAGAGCAGCAGCACCACCGCCAGCAGCAGCAGCAGCAGCAGCTCTCCCGTACCAAATCAGAGGCGTGTGCCTGCGCTTGTCCGTCGGTGTGGAGTCGGACCGCGTACGACCCCTCCCCTCGTCCGCCCGCACGCATCACGGAATTTCTTATCTGTCCCCGGTTTCGGCCCCTGCCGCGATTGAAATGGCCCGTGAATCTGGGGGCGATCGTTGCCGACGGCTCCTCCGACCCCCTCTGCCCGAACCAAGGTAGTGGCGAATGGTTTGCCGTTCTGGTGTGGCCGTATGCGAGAGGTTGTGCACGCATGCGCGTCAGGGATGGAGGCGCCAAGGCCTGGCATGGGGTGTGGGTGTGGGAGTGCCGGTGTCACTCTGGACAGTGCAGCGAGCTGCGGCGTGTCGTCCCACCGCCTGCCATTGGCCAGCCAGCGATTGTCCAGTCTGCGCCGAGAGGTTGCTCCTGGGTTAGCGGGCGAGGGAGCGGTGGGTTGTTGTCTTTTCTACGGCGCCCGACGGAGGAGGGGCGCTCTGTTACTGTGGCGCCCCGAGCTGTCGTGAAATCGCCGGTTGTTTGGCTGTGTGGAAATATTGCGCTAGTCGTGGGTTACGCGTTCTTGGATCTTTATGTTACTAATAACCCTTATTTTTGTTTTCATTTCTCCCTTTCTGATACGAAATTTATGTAGGGTGCGTTGGTGTCTCAGCCAGCATGCAGCGGCGCACGATTTCAGCTTTCCTTGCCCTGCTCGGTCTCAGTTTCCTCCTTTCCGCCCTCTCTATACGGGCGCCTCCCTTCCTCTATGGCTCTTCCAGACTGCTAGGCTTCAGTAGCCGTTTGGGAACCCTGCACATTGGTTGGAATTGCCATTGGCAGGGTTGTGTAATATCTCCCAGTGTTTATAACCCACCGGAAGGTATCATCAATATGCATGTCGATTTGCCTGTCGGTGATTTGAAGTAGTCAATAAATTCGAGCTCGGACTCATTCGTACGCAATTCAGCATCATCGGACATGTCACGAAGAGCGCCGTGTGAAAGGAGCCGACCCAGCCATCGGACACGCAGCTGCGGCGCGCCTCGTGCGCAGCGGACGGAAGCTTCACCAGCACAGCCGGAAGGTACTGCTTCGGAAATGCGCTTCAGGCGCACGTGTTATTCGTCTTCTGTTATGGAAGAGCATACACCGTTAACGTTCACGCCACGGGTCCATCCGACTTGTATATTGGGCTGCCGGACCACGCTTGAACATTATTTCCATGTGCTCTGCGCTCATCTCCCAGTGTTACTTAACAATGGCGGGCATAACGAACTACCCAAAGCATGACTGTGACTTCATCTGGATTCGCGTGGGTGTCATGCAGGTCACCGCCGGCGCCGGGTCAGACCCGGGCATCAGCTGTATGGCGGCCGGTGACCGGGCGGCGCTGCAGCTGCGGGGACGGCGCGAACCAGCCGCTACAGAGCGCCGGCAGCCATCAGCCGCGGCAGAAACATCTGGCCTCTCGCTCATGACACGGGCCAGGCCCATACAGGTGTTCTACCACCGTCGTGACATCGCGCACAACATACAGATTCGCCGGCGGGGTGGACGCATAGCTCCGCTGGCGGGATGGAAGCACGCATCCACTTGCGCGGAAGGACGGACGGACAGATCCGCTGGAAGGGCGGGACGAACGCACAAATCCGCTGGAAGGGCGGGACGGACGCACAGATCCGCTGGAAGGGCAAGGCGGACGCACAGATCTGCCGGCGGAGTTCCAGGGCAGGTCGGCCGGTGCCTTGCAAACTCATTGCTTAGATTTACATGAAACTCTTCGTCGTCAAGGTAATCCATAGCGCTGAACACGCATGTGGTTTTACCAGGTCGTCCAGTTCAGAAGTTCAGTATCGGCGCCTTCACGGCCCTAAACAGCACGCCCCACTGGTGGTCCGGTTACTGCCCATAACTCGCACCGCTGTGTGAGCGTCACGAGGTCAGTGGTGGTCGCTGCTTTGGGGCCGCCCGCCTCCTAGCTGAGACAGCCAGAAGGAATGTGTGACTGCTGGATTGGCGCGCAGGGCGTTGCACTCTTCAGCCACGTCCTGGCACCGTCTGCCGCCGACTGTTGTGGCTTCCCGGAGGCAGGACGCAGCCTGGATTTTTTAGCGGCGGGGCGGGGAGAGGGGGGGGGGGGGGTTCATCTCTGAGTACTCATGCTGATGCAAGTGCTGCCTCGGTTGTGTTTATTATAGGGGTTCATGAACGTTTATTGGCGCGATCCATTGGGCAGCATTTGAAACACACCTTCCCCATGCTGCGTCCATGGACCCAATTAAGCCCACGTGGACTATTTTAAGTCGGTATGGTGTCCATTTGTGTGTGCTGACCGGCTGGAGCTTAACTTCTCCCCAAAATGAAGACTTAGGGCCTTTGGTGGTGGCACCAATTGTTCGGCGCCCCTCCACCATGACATTTTCGCTAGTTTTCGAGTCCCCAGATTTTAATGGGCGGCTCAAGGTAGGGAGAGGGGACTATGCCTCTCTGTCTGGATGATCCGTTTTCCAAATTTGCATTACCAACAACACAGATTTTACCATTTGGTTTGCCTTTAAAAGCTATTATGACGTCATCAACAGCTGGCTTGTCAATCTACAAAGTACGGTCTAGGAACAATCGCGCCACACTCGCCGGCAGTTTGCACCTGTCCGGAGGGAAACTGTGTAGTCGCTGGCCTCTGTTCAGTGGCATTGTTCGTGCCAGGTTCTCTGCGGTTTTTTCACAGGCAGCCGGTTTGGGCAGAGGCGGTCTAATCATCTATGTAGGTAGGTGGGTAGATGGGGCGTGGATTTGTGCACATGCTTGTTGGATTTGGGGCAAACTCAGGTGTTATTTTCCCCTTACAACTTATTGCTTCAAGGGATTTAGGCTGCTCTGTTTTGCTCAGCATCCGTTTTCACTTGGTTCGTATCGCTCATGAAAGGGTCCTTTGCATTTTCAATGTATCAGTCAAGGCCATCAAATCACACTTGAGGGGCAGCTTTATAATATATTTCAATTTTCATTATTTTTGACTTGCCCACAATAAGATGGCAAAAAGCAACATCAGTGGGGTGGTGTCAATATTACGGCAGTAAGTGGGTAGTGTGATATACCTGTATGGTGTGGAAGTATGGTAATGATGGTGGGTTTTCATGTTTGACAGCTATCAACCTTTCACATACCACTTGGCTGGTGTGCTAAAACATTATCCACTGCACCAGATGCCTACTCAACATGGGTGGGCTGAGCCTTGCTCTAATGTTCAGAGCATTTTTGCCTGACTTGCACTTCTAACATCATGATTACCTTATACTTTGGTGACATCTGCTCAAAAATGGTTTGTGTCAAAGGAATTGCTCTTTCCTCCTGCATAGTAGTCATGAGATACACAAGTTTTTCATAGCATTTCAGATCCTCAAGTTTCAGAATGTTAGGGGATGTATTGGGATATGTAGGCATAGTTGAGCATTCCGGATTAAAAGAATGCACTGGGATATGTGAACATGTATATACATTTGCACTATAATCTGTATCCTACTTTGAATTCATTCATCCAGTTGCATCATGATATAAGTATCCTATTTGGCATTGTTATGGCAAAAGTGATGTCTTGTATTTACACTAGATTGCCATCCATCATAGTCACAGCACACTGTCATAGGTCTTCTCTTGACACACAGTTCTAGAGGCACATTGCCACAGCTATCGCAAACCTGCCTTCTTATTGGTATTGGTATGGTATGGTAACCAGGGTCATGGAAATAAATACCTTAAGGTAGAATTACATCACCAATGGGTATGCATAGAGAACTGGGTGTTTTGGAACACTTGACATCAATGAGGAGCTGTAAGGTCAGCCATTAATATGCTAACCTTTCTCTCATGTCCCACTTCTCTCTTATCCTTAGTGTACCTACAAGGACATGTTTTTTTAATTCACATTGTAAATATTTGTGTTTCATTGTGGACTTATATATTGCACACATTTTGCTGCAGTACCTGATAAGGTGTCACACCTCACAGGACACAAATGAAGGATGTGTCCCCAGGAAACTCACTGGTACAAAGTCCTATGAATGAGTTGTGCCTATCTTGAAGATATATGTTCCCATTCCTCCCCCCCCCCCCCCACTCATTTTTTGGAACTATACCACTGATTCCGGAAGCACTGTCTGTAGAAACAGGTTACTGAGTATTTGCAAAGCTGATTGACTTGCTCAACTTTCACATGATGTGGGCACAGTTGCATGCAGGAAATGGTTTCAACAGTACTGCACCATGCACATGATTTGGTGGGGATATCACCCTAAATCGTCATACACCATCTGATACACCAGAAATCTTATCACCAGTGGCTAGGACCACCATCCTTGGCTACAGAGAGCCACCATCATCTGATATGCACCCCTCATCTTGGAAAAGGCCTGTAGTCAGCATCAACCAAACCTGCCTCTGTTTGTGGGGCCACTTATCTGTGTTTCATTTCCCCTTGTGGTTAAGAAGTAAGTAATAAGCAGCATGCACAGTCTAGGGACAGATATCATTGGTCTATTTGGCCCAAGATATGGTACTGATTTTGTCACTTGCTATGTCAACTTGCTCTATCTTACTTATGTGGTACAATTTGTGACTTTTTTAATCCTCTTGGCTCAATGTTCTTGATATATGCATTCTGTTCCATGTAATGCATTGACACATATGGTATATTCTAGGTTGGATGATTTGTGAAGATGTCTAAAGAAAAGGAAAAACATTTTCAGGATCGCTTAAAGAAGTTCTTCAAGCAAAATCGTGATGGAGGCGGCTACAGGTCGGGTGTTTTATTGAGTTTTTAATGAGTTTGTGCTATAATGCCATGAATCTTGAATCTTGATTGTCTGTTTGTGTGTTTGTTTTTGTTTGTGTTTTGTTTTGTTTTGTTTGTTTTGTCTGTTTGTGATTGTGAATGTGAATCTTGAATGAATCATGAATCTTCATTGTCCTAATGTGCTGCACAATCATGTCACATCATCACTGGTAGTGGTGTAATCCAACATCAGCAGACTTAATGGAACCATTCATTATCCATAACTTTTGCATTACAGGTGGATATGATTTACATTATCTTTGCATATTTGTAAGTAACTTTAGAAAGTGTGCTCTCAATGCCTTCCTGCTGAATACTGCTTAACTTGTATTTTGATTATTCTGTGTGCCACTCCCCCAATTGATTCCATTCACCAGAGTTAATGGCATATGTTTGCAGCCAATACCTCAGTCAACCATTTGAATACACGCCGGAGCTGCGGCAGAGTCTCCGCCCCGACTCGGCCCCTGGTGCCCGGGTCCGTGTCCTGCAGGTCAGAATCTCCTCCAAGCATTGCCACACAGTGTGCATTGTTATGCATACATGATCAGCTCATGTGTCATGTATGTCTCCACATGCGATCCCGCCAAATGATTGTGCGCTGTTCGTGGCGAAGGGCTGCCTTCCTTGCGGACCATCTGCCCACCTAGCGGGCCGTCGCGTGGCGCTCGCCTGAGATCTGTGATCACCACATTGTCACGAGCTGTTCGGAGGCCTGAGTGCGCTCGCCTGAGATCTGTGGTCGTCGCATTATCACGAGCTGTTCGGAGGCCCGAGTGCGCTCGCCTGAGATCTGTGGTCGTCGCATTATCACGAGCTGTCCGGAGGCCTGAGCTGAAGCAGGCCGGGCACCTGCTGGCTGGCCGTCCCCCGGCCGCGCTTTACGCCGCGTGGTGCGGTTCCCCTGGCGCAGGAGCTGGTGGAACGGGTGAAGCGGCTGCGGCTGGACGACCTGCAGCTGGTGACGCTGCTCTCGGACGTGCAAGACCTGCTGCACCCTTCCACGGCGCGCGACCTGCGCCACGCCGTGTTCGCCGCGCTTGTCAGCCTTGTCAACAGCCAGCTGGAACACATGACGGCCGCCCGCGAGGAGCTGCTGGACATGGTGGCGCGGCACAACGTGCCGGACGACTTTGAGATCCGGGTGGGTGTTGGTACGCCTTGATGGCTTCACCAGGGGTAGCCGTGCTGGGTCGTTGCACCGGCCGGAGGTGCTCACACGGCCGACGAAATGTTGTGGGTCGTTATGCAGTTCCGGGCGCCGTTTAGGTGTCAGTGCTTGCAATATCTGCGGGATTCCCAGGCCTTGTTACGAAGTGACGATGCCAAGTGCAGAAATCAAAGCCCAAGCTTTCCGTTCGTGACGCCGCTGTTGCGTTGGCCTGTGGAAGTGACCGGCTAGCCTGTCTGCGGTGCGAGCCGTCACCCTGCGAGGGCGCCGCCCCACCCCGCCCGCGCCCCTCGTGGTCGCCCGCTGCTGCTTCTTGACGGTAACGGCCTTCGCTGCCCGCAGGTGCGGATGCTGTCGGCGCTGACGGAGGACGGTCGCAACCTGACCTACATCGAGGAGGCGGTGCCGCCGCTGCTGCTGCAGCTACTGCCAGAGGCGCTGCAGCTGCCGGCCGGCGCCGGCGGCCAGACGGCGCTGCTCCGCCTCCTGCAGAACTGCGTCAAGTTCAATGCCGCCTACGTGGAGTCCGAGCACGTGCAGCAGGTGGTGGAGCTGATCTACACGCGCGCCACGGCCCAGCCGGGCGGCGTCGACACGTCCGCCTGCCTGGCGCTGTTCGACGTGATCCTGTGCTACAGTGACCTGCCGCGCGCCGCGCTGGTGCGGCTGGCGGCGCTGCTGGCGCGGCTCGTCTGCCAGCCGCACCACGCGCGCCCCGCCTGGCGTCTCATGCGCAACCTGCTCGGCACCAGCATGGGTCACGTCACACTGCAGGTGGGCGGCGAGCAACGATGTGGTTCGAATCCACTGTGTTTGCTGCTTCTTTGGGTCGAGACGGGCACGCTTACCGCGCGCACTCACTTATCTCCGGGGTTGGTGTTGAGTTGTCCGAGTTGTGTCGGCTGCGGGCTGTGCCCGTATTCACTGTTGTGCTGGCGCCGGCGGGGGTGGCTGGGCGCTGACGCTGCGCCGGCGCCGCCAGGTGCTCACGGAGCTGCTGATGAACCGCGCCAACGCCAGGGACCCGGCCCTGCTCAAGGGCTGCATCTTCTTCGGCTCGATGGCGCTGTGGGGCGGCGATCAGCGCGTGACGAGCCTGCTGCACCGGCCAGGCGCGCTGCTGCCGGCGCTGGGCGTGGCGCTCGACGCCCGGCAGCCAGCCGTCAGCCACGAGGTAGCGCTCGAGCTGCGCGAGCTGGTGTGCGGCGCGCAGGGCGGCGAGCTGCTGCCGCACGCCTGGGACCTGCTGCTCGACCTGGTGGACCGACTGTACACGGAGGCGCGCGGCGCCCGCCTGCCGCCGGCCGTGGCGCAGCAGGTGCTGGCGCAGCTGGGCGCCCTGCTGAGCGGCGCCGAGCGGCTGGCGGCCGACGGGCGGCTCGGCGGCGACGAGGCGCGCCTGGGCCGCACAGCTGGAGCGGTGCGCCGCCGACCGGCCCGAGGCCGGCGTGGTGGCCGCCGTGCACCGGGCGGCTGATCACCTGCTCACGTACAGGTGAGGTCGGCGGCCAGCTTTGTCATACACCGCTGCACAGCTCATGCTGCAAAGTAGGCCCGCTTTTTACGCTGATGTCCCATGTGAACATGCGCGGATTGCTACAATGTACTTGCTAGTCTGAAATTTCACATTGATGTGTTTCGCACTTAACGCACGCGCGCAGTTGCTGAAATGTTACAGAGAGTGCCTTTAGGATGGGTTTATTGAGCAGGCTGCCGAATTAAAACCATTATTAGCAGCGGAAGTTCTTGCAAAGAAACGTGCCGCAGATACGTATGCCGGAATGGTATTGCAAACAAATCCAAAAACTGTTTCACCCCGCGGCCGCATTTCTTCAGACAGCTGTCGATTGGCGGTGTAGCCGAAGCCGTAAGGTCGTCCACGGTCTGCATCGCCGCGGCGCCGCGCGCACCTGTGCTCACTGTGCCCTGGTCGCCGGCGGCGCAGGTACACCTGGCTGTCGGAGCTGCGCGAGCTAGTGACCCGCTACTACGACCAGGATGGTCGGACGTCCGTGCGGCTGGCCGTCTGTGACGTGCTGCAGCGCGTCTGGGACGGCTTCCGGCGGCTGGAGGCCACGCCGCTGCTGGAGACGGTGCTGCTGCCGGCCGCCGCCGCGCTGCCCGCCGAGCCGGACGCCGCCGTGCGCGCGCGCATGGTGTGCCTGTTGGTGCGCGTGGCTGCCTCGTGTCGCTCGCCGCACTGCCTGGACGTGCTGGCGCTGTTGGAGCGCGTGCTGACAGCGCCGCTGGAGGCTGGCCGGCCGCTGGAGCTGGAGGCGGCACCGGCATTGGAGGCGGCCGCCGCCGGCCTGGCCGAGGTGTTGGAGCGACACCTGACGGCGCTGCCGTCGTCGTTGGCGGTGAAGACCTACCGGGTGATGGTGGACCACCTGCATCGGCACTACGCAGCGCCGGACGTGCTGTCGGCGGTGCCGGCAGTGCGCACGCCGCTCCTGCTCTGCCTGCTCAGCCTGCGGGTGGACGCTCAGTGCCGTATCGGCCTGCCGGACCGGACGAGCGGCGCGTTGCGGTTCAGCCAGCACCTGCTGGCCGAGCAGCGGCACGCCGAGCCGGCGCCGACCGTGACGCGGCTCAGCCTGACGCCGCTGCGGCTGGCCGTGATCGCCGCGCTCGGTCACGAGCGCCACTACGACCTGCTGTCGACGCTGCTGCTGCGCGTGCCGCGCCTGCTGGAGAACAAGGCGCTGGTGCTGAGTGAGCAAGGCGGCGACGTCGACTACTTCGCGCAGGCCATGTGCCAACTGTCGGCAGACATCACGCCGGTGCTCTGCGGCAGGCTCACCCACCTGCCCGACACGTTCAAGACGTCCGACCTGCAGTCGCTAGTGTACCCGATCCTGGTGTCGCTCACGTCCTACCACAACAACATGAGCATGCCGATGCACCGGCGGCTGATCGGCAGTCTGGAGAGCGGCCTGCGGTCGCGGTGCGCGCCGCAGTGCATGGCGGCGCTCACCGTCTGCGCACTGGGCATGCGCGAGGCCATGGCCAAGCTGATACACGATGTGCTTATCAGCATGTCCAGACTCTCGTCCACCGTGGCCATGGGCAACTCCGTGTTGGAGTTCCTCTCCACGCTCATACGCATCCCGAAGGTGTACTCGCGCTTCAACGAGGAGCAGTACATGTCCATCTTCGCCATCGTGCTGCCGTACACCAACCCGGCCAAGTTCAACCACTACATCGTGTCGCTGGCACACCACGTCATCGCCATGTGGTTCCTTAAGTGCAAGGTCAAGTACCGGCGCTGCTTCGTCAAGTACATCATCAAGGGGCTGAAGACCAACTTCAGCAACATCCAGGCCATCTGGCGTCAGCAGCAGGCGCTGGGATCGCAGCAGACGGCCGAGGGCGCGGCAGTCAACGAGGACTCGAGCAACAGGCGCAGGTGAGCGGGCCGACCGGGGAGGTGGCGCTGGGCGGCAACGGTCGGGGACGGTCCGGTCGCTGGTGTGGTGCGCCGCCGGCACGGCGCGACAGCCAACGCTCCCGTGGGCTGGTCTTGTTAGCGGCATTGAGACGGCCTGACTCGAACGGCCTTGCTACCTGTCTTGGGAGGCTGCCTTGCGTGGCCGTGTTGCGCTAGCCATTTTGCAGCCGGCGTTCTGCCGTGTCGTTGCGCACAGTCGGGTTTACCACACGCTGAATGGACAAACTTCTTGTCCCTTCTGCAGCCGAGTACTAAGCCCCCGGACACCCCAGGGTGATACATGCCCCGCTCCCGACCCCGCACCCAATGTGCGGCACATGAGGGCTTCATTTGGCGAAGAGCGGCACCTAATATCGGTCGTGCAACCAGCCCTTTGAGGAGGTTTTGGAATGTGCTCCCATGTGAATGCAGCGTATGTAAGGGTGCTATAACTGGTGTCCGTTTTCTGTGTTCGCTTTGCTAAGAAGAGACAGGCAGGCGTAAGGCACTTCTTGCTTCCTACTTTCGCCTCTATGCAATGGCAAAAGGCCAGGAATGGCGCAGAATCTACCTTTGCAGACCCGTATTGACCGCGAACACATGAGCAAATTTACGTGGTCATAGGATAATCAAAATATTTCTTTCACGAGCCTGCGTAGACAGCAGCATCCATCGGAATGTTAGCTTTATAATCATAGACGTGCCTGCTGGTTGCAGCTCCCTCACGAGTCACGCCTCAAGCGATAGCTGAGCTTAGGACTATCGACAATAGATGGCGGGCCCGCACCTGTTGCCACGGGCCTTGTGCGGTGTTTGTGGTGTGCGGACGGCTGAGCGGGTGAGCTGACGGTGCGGTGCGGGCCGCGTCTGCGGCGCAGGTCGTCCAGCCTCTCTGACCGGGCCAGCCAGGCGCGCGGCCGCGACGGCCGTACCTTCTCGCTGTCGCGGCGTGCCCAGGAGACGCCGGCCGACCCGGGCCTGCGGCGCGGCTCCCTGCTGCCCGGGCCGGCCCCGGCGCCGCCGCCGCCGCCGCCGCCGGCGGCGCCCATCAGCGTCACGCGCGAGCTCATCAAGTTCCACCGCGAGCTGACGGAGACGTGTGTCGACCTGATGGCCCGCTACACGGGCGCCAACTACGCGGTGCTGCCGGAGCGCACGGCCGTCATGGAGCTGCTGCTGGCGCGCGGCCTCAGTAACACGTGGGTCGTGGGCAACAAGCTGGTGACGGTGACAGTCGGCGGCTGCGGCGGCACCGTGTTCCGGCGCGGCCTCTGCGAGAAGTGCTACCACCTGTGCTGCGGCGGCGGCGACGAGGCGCCGGCCAGCCCGCCGGCAGAGCCGGACGCTGCGGCGACTCCGCCGCCGCCGCTGGCGCCGGCGGGTCCGGCCGAGAACCGGCGTCGCCACATCTCGGTGCCGGTGGGGCGCGGCGGCCCGGCGGCCGAGGCGGCGCCGCTCCGGGACGACTCGCAGCTTCTCGGCCGCTCCCCCGGCGACCCGGCCGGCGGCGGCGGCTCCAGCGCTCCGGTGAGCACCGCTCGCGGCAGCAGGGATGGCCAGAGAGCGCTCTGCTGGTGTTTGGACGGAAACCGTGGGCGCCAGACAGTGTACGTGCGTGCGTGCGTTCGTGTGGTCTTTATTTATATTACACGTACCAGCGTGGCTGGGAGTGGCCCGAGGAGTGGCCGGAGAATGACGCTTTAAACGCCGTATGGGCAGAAAGGATACAGATGGCGGCTGTATCATTGCGATTTAAAACTATAGTGTGCCAAAGGTACCTGTGGTGCTGCGCTGACTGTCAGGTCTGTTTCCCTGTATGTTGCGGGTCCTCGCTCCCCGAGCAGCTTCGGTAAAGGGTCGGGCTGCCGCCCCTTCAGCTGTCTGCTGGCGCTGGGTTTGGCGCTCCACTCCGGGGTGGGTTGGTGGCGGCCGGATGATGTGAACGGGCGCTGCGCCTGTAATGCGCCACCGCCGCGCCGTCCGCCCTCTGACCCGTGCCGCCGGCCGCTCCAGGGCTGGCCAGGGCGCGCCGCCGCCGCCTCCGGCTCGGGCCACCTCTGCAGCTGCTGGTGTCAGGGCTGGGCCGAGATCCTGGTGCGCCGGCCGTCCGGCAACATGGCGTGGATGACGCGGCTGGAGAATCGGCAGCTGGTGAGCTCCGACGATCTGCCGGCGCCAGACCTGCTGACGCTGATCGCGCCTGGCACGTCCGACCAGACGGTGGAGCGCCTGCTCCGGCAGGTCAGTGCCCATCGCCGACACGCGAGCCAGTGCCGACTGGAGTCAGGGGGTGGACATCCAGAACCCTTCCACTTGCTGCCGGTGGAGAAGGCTTCTGCATGTGCACAAATCAGTTGTGTGCAGTTGATCCAGTTGTGTGCAATTGGTGTGCAATCACTGATTTGTTGTGTGCAGGTCCTACAGCTTTCGACAGTAAATCGTGGCAAAGCATTCCATGCGTCATCATCACAGTCACGCTTTGACAGAGCCCTGGCGTTCGGCCTGTTTGTGGCGGTCGTGGCCCCGGGCTATGCCATCACCGTGTTCGCGGTCGTCGCATGCGGCCGGCGCTCGGTGTGCTGACTGGCCTACCGCTGTCGACCAGGCGGAGCCGGCGGCCGCTGGCAGCCCACCGCCCCAGGCGACCGTCGGCTCGCCACCGCCGCCAGCGCCGGCGCCGGCGCCGCCCGAGATCAACATCATTCAAGAGGACGGCGACGGCGGCGGCGAGGACCGCGACGAGCCGGGCGCGCCGCCGCGCCGCCCGCTCTCGCGCACGCGCAGTGGCGAGACGCGCCGGCATAGCCTTTTCAAGTCAATCTCGGGCGGTCAGGTGAGGAGGCCCGGTTCATGACCAGCAGCTCCGCGGCGACGCGGTCGCCCCGGGTCCCCGTGGGACGGGTGCGGTCACTCAGCGTCCTCACGGGCGCGTGATAGATTGGCGAAGAGACGCGGTGCTTTCGAATCCGCTTCGGGTGGTGGCGTAAGTGGCGGGTGTCGCTCTTTTGCTGCAGACGGCCATCGCAACTCCGTTCCTTGCCGTTGCTGCTGGAAGCCGATAGATGTCAGCGCCGTCAGTACCAAAGCTACTCCGCAGACGCACCTAGTAGAGTGTGACTGCCCGTCAGCAGGTGTCGCCACCGTTGGTGTCAGTACGCATCTCTGCCAACAGATGCCGCCGGTGTCGCCTCGCCAGGGCCGCGACCGCAGTCACACCATCTCGGTGATGTCTCCGACGCGTCGCGCGCCGGCGCCGGACCCACTGGCCGATGACGCGCGGATCGGCCTGCTGCCGGAGCAGGTGCTGCTCCAGCTCTTCCACAGCTCCGAGGTAGAGGTGAGGACCGCGCGCACAACCCCACCACCCGGGCTGTGTAATGCTGGGACGTAAAGGCTGGTTGCGTGCTGTGCCCCCCCCCCCCCCTAATTTGTATTACTCGTGGCTTCACATGACACGAATAGCGGTATGGTTCCAAGCACATGCCTTTGAGAGTACGTCCAAGTAATTTGAATAACTGCGCGGTGATATTGGTCACGACTTTCTTGTTCTGGGGGCTGAACAGGAAATATCAGTTTTGAACAACATAACTAACAATTCCAAGGCTACCTCATTAGAACAGACAAAGCTTGTGAAAATCCGGGGGAAGAGGGAAGAGACGTAACAATATGTTTGAGGTGCGCTGGTTTGTTCACATTCCATGAGCCAAACGCTTTTCAAATGGAGTTGACGCGCTAGGGGATTGTTCCTATTGGCCATTGGGAACGCAAGGCTTTCTTGGCCTTGTTGAGCCGGATGTGACTTCATACTACTTCTGGCAGGCGGGGGAGCCGGGCCTGGGAGGTCCCGTCCCACTGTGATGCCACATTACCTCTGGCAGGCGGAGAAGCCGGGCCTGGAAAGGTCCCGTCCCGCCGTAGCGTCCTCACACTTCCTGTCCTCTGGCAGGCGGAGGAGGACACATGCGCGGAACAGAGCCAGTCGGAACCGCACGAGTCCGACATCATGCTGATGGAGAACGGGCCGGACACGGAGCGCACACTGGCCGTGTTCGACCGCATCACGCCAATGGAGACGCATAAGATCGGCGTGCTGTACGTGGCCGCGGGCCAGGCGGCCGACGAGGCGGCGATCCTGCGCAACCAGTGCGGCTCGGCCCGCTACAATCAGTTCCTCCAGGTGTGCCACCGGCCCGCCCCCGCCGCGTGCACCTCGCTCCCCGGCCGCGAGCTCGGGGCTGCCGGGGGACCGTCGCCGTCCGACCGGTCGGTGGCGAGTGGGTGTGTCGGTGTTGCTGCGCGCTCCGTGCCGAGGGCGGACGGCGCTTCAGCACGGCGCGCAAGCGCTGTTTCGCGCGTGTATGCTGCCGGTGGCTTCGGTCACCTGGTCGATGCTTCCCTGCAGTTCGCGCGTTGACCACCGGATGTGTCGGTCAGTGACGCCGGAGATCGCGGTGCGCCTGCCCTGACTCAGGTCTTGGTCAGGACGGCAGCGGTGTTGATCTTTTGTCCTCTGACCTGCAGGGCCTGGGTCGGCTGGTGGAGCTGACCGAGGCCCAGCCGGACAAGACGTTCCTGGCCGGCCTGGACCGGACCGGCTCCGACGGCCGGTTCGCCATCATGTGGGAAGACGACCTGATGCAGGTGTGTGCTCGGTCCGCCGTCTTTGTTCGGCCGTTCCATCGTCTGTTTAGCCGTCCCACCAGCTCTATTTGGCCGTCCCACCGTCTGTGCTCGGCCGTCCCACCGTCTCTGTCCGACCGTCCCGCCGCCTCTGTTCGGCCGTCGCGCTGTCTCGGGTTGGCCGTCGCGCCGTCCGTGGTTGGTCGTCCCACCGTCTCTGTTCGGCCGTCGCGCCGTCTGGTTGGCCGTCCCGCTGTCTCTGTATGGAGTCTCTGGCTGGAGTCAATTGAACATTGATACTCTGGGGGTCAGGCTCGAAGTCAGCTTAGTTGGCAGGGTTGGAGCTGGAATCTATCTCGCTCAGGCACGGTCTGCCAGTGATGTGCGTGTGACGGGAACATCTTCGTGACGGGTGGGCGTGTGACGAGAGCATCTCCGCGATGGGTGTGCGCGTGACGAGAACATCTCAGTGACGGGTGTGCGTGCGACGGGAACATTTTTGTAACTAACGTATTCGTGGCTGGTGCCGTCGCGGCTGTCGACTCAAGTTCAAAAGCTCTCGATCGGCGTTTACCGTGGGCCCATCGCCCGCCATGTAGTGTAACGCATCTCGCTGTTCAACTGACGACCCTGCCGCTGCAGGTGCTGTTCCACGTGGCCACCATGATGCCGACCGTGGACGAGCGGTGCAATAACAAGAAGATGCACATCGGCAACGACTTCGTGCTGATCGTGTACAACGAGTCGGGGCAGGAGTTCAACATCACCACCATCCGCGCCCAGTTCTGCTACGCCGGTGTGGTGGTCGAGCCGCTCGACCACGGCACAAACCGCATTGTCATCCGCACCAAGGGCAAGCTGCAGGTGCGTGGCGGCCCGCTGTCGCTCACTTCAGAAACCGTGCCGCTGTCTCGGTCGGCCGCCGTGGACGCGAGTTTCGGTGGCAAATCCGGGTTTTGCCGCTGGTCGTCATTGATGGCGCCGTTGGCGCCTGCCTGGCGCTAAGGGGCTCCGTTGACGCTGGGGAGCCCCGCAGGCGCTGGGGAGCCCCACTGGCGCTGAGGAGCCCCGCTGGCGCTGAGGAGCCCCGCTGGCGCTGAGGAGCCTCGCTGGCGCTGAGGAGCCTCGCTGGCGCTGAGGAGCCTCGCTGGCGCCGCACAAGAGAGGCGCCGAAGTGCCGCCTTCGTTGTTGTTATTTGTGTGACTTGGTGTTTGTGGTAGCCCAGGTTGCTGCGGACGGCCGCGCCGGGAGACGCGGCGGCGTCGGGCGTGGTTGGACTGAGCTGCTGTGCGTTGGACTGGCTCCCGTGCTCTAGCGCAGTGTGCTAATCAGACAGTAGTGCTCCACAGGAGTGATGTGCAGGGCAATGAAGTTTTGTGTTTCCACACATCTTGTGGGTGACTACCACTGTTCCCAAACGGCTTTGCACGTGGCTTCTGTCAAATGTTCTACGTGGTTGACAGGAGCCGCTCCATCTGTGTGTGTGTGTGTGTGAAGGGGGGGGGGGCGGTAGGAGGGGCTCGCAATGTTTTCGGAGACATCTACGAACAATGCGGATATCTTAGCGTGACTCCGGCCAGTGGGCCCTTAACGTTTGTACCCGTGCCACTGAGTACTAGTTTTGTAAAATGAGGGTCGACCAAGTTCAAAGTCTTGAGGGGTCATCGGTACCTTCAATAACGCTGCGTTTTCTCTTGAGAGCAAATGATGGCATTACAGATGGACTAATCGTTTCAACTGACGTCCTCGTTTGGTGTGGTTGATAGTTCGAGCAATTACTACATCCGTAATACTATCGCTTCGTCTCAATCATTTTGTGAAGCTCTAAATGATCAGACTTGAAGCAGCCTTGGTGTCCTGTAGATAACCATTTACTTGAATTGCCGCCGCGTTTGCGTGAATTCCTGCACTGTAATCTGCGGATCTACCACAGTGCCGACAGCTCGCGCGATCGGCAGCACGCGCCCGGCCTCACCGAGCGCGCCCCGCCGGCAGGAGCTGTTCGGGCACACGGAGGTGACGCTCGTTTCGGACCAAAACCTGGCCGTCATGGCGCGCCAGCTAGCGCTGCACGCCAACCTGGCCTCGCTGATCCAGCAGCGCGGCGTGGCCGGGCCCGACCCGTACGCCTCCAACTGGCTGGAGCGGCTGCGCCACATCAAGCGCGTGCGCCGGCGCGTGGCCGACGCGCGCCGCCGCCGCCTGCAGGAGCGCCGCAAGGCCGGCGAGGACGTGGCGCCGCACACGGTCGACTTCACCCAGCTGCTGGAGTGAGCTCCGCCAGTGACGGCGGCGGCGGCGCGGTGGGAGGGCGGGTGTCGGCGGGAGGGACCGCTGCGTCCGTTTTACACCCGCGGTGCGCTGGCGGAGCGCGGCCGCCGCGGCGGGCGGGGGACTCGTGATATTTTAACGCGTGCAGTCGCCGCCTGCGAGTGTCGTTTTTAAGGATGAGAAGCCGTCTGGGGTGCGCTGTGCCGGCGCCGCCGCGCGCGAAGCCGCATCAGGGGTGTCCGTCCAGACAGGCTGCCGCCTCGCCTCCGCCGGTCCCCGCCCAGCCCTGCGCCGGCGGCACCCTGCACCTCCCGGCCGTGTGGGGGAGGCGCGGCGTGCCCGGCTCCGGCAGGTGGGGGCGTGTATTGACGGGCGGGGCGGGTGTGGCGTGCGGCGGGGCGGCGGCGTGACGTTGCAGTGACTCGGCGCCGCCGCGGGTGAGGCGTGCAGTGGTGTGTGCGTGCGTGGTGAGCGGCGTGGGGCGCGCTGGCGGGCGGACGGCAGCGCGCAGGCGTGTAGGCAAGTGTCGGCCGCCTCCAGCACACAGCAGGCAGCTAGGCTCGGCGGCCGGCAAAGCGTCAGGTTGCTTGCGGCTGTGAATGGGGTGGGGTTGGGGCGGGGGGCCGCGGGCGCTGATTTCGCCTGCACCACCGAATTGTTTTTCTCCGTGGGTGGTGTCTAACATCCTCCAGCGAGCGGCATATGTGACGTCCGCCTTCTAACACGTTTGGTTATGCCGCTGTGGGTCTTCGGCGTGCCGCGGTCTGTGACGTCTGCCCCGCTGAGATGCCGCAATCAGCTTGTGTGTGTATCGGGCTTTGCGTCGTGCCATGGCCGGCGAGCCCGTTGTCTGATGCGGGTGAGCTGCGCAGCGTTACGCCGTGGCCGGCGAGCCCGCTGTCTGATGCGGGTGGGCTACGGAGCGTTGCGCCGTGGCCGGCGAGCCCGTTGTCTGATGCGGGTGGGCTGCGCAGCGTTGCGCCGTGGCCGGCGAGCCCGCTGTCTGATGCGGGTGGGCTACGGAGCGTTGCGCCGTGGCCGGCGAGCCCGTTGTCTGATGCGGGTGGGCTGCGCAGCGTTGCGCCGTGGCCGGCGAGCCCGCTGTCTGATGCGGGTGGGCTACGGAGCGTTGCGCCGTGGCCGGCGAGCCCGTTGTCTGATGCGGATGGGCTGCGCAGCGTTGCGCCGTGGCCGGCGAGCCCGCTGCCTGATGCGGGTGGGCTGCGCTGCGTCGCGCCGCGGACGCGCGGCCGTGCTTGTTTCTTCCCGCTCTTGCAGAACTACTGCGCTGTGCTAACCGGGTCCCGTCTCGCGAATATCATGTTTCCGCGATGTCATTACGTCAGCAGCGTGGGCGTGTAGTCAAATATACTATTTGTGATGTTTGTTGACTGTCCCGATGTGTATGGGCATAAAATAAAGGTACTCTATCTAGTCTTCTGTTGTTGGGGTAGCTTCTGTCTGGATGTAATAGACAACTTCTTGGCACATATCTCTCCGTCGCTGGCAAACATCCTCGTGATTTAATCAGTCCGACGCCGTATAAAATCCTTTGCCGGTAAGTGCTTTATGACCACAATCGCACGAAAGATTGTCGAGAAAAGAGCGTGAAGCGGGCTATTGGGAAAAAGCGATAAACAAACTTGTCCGAGGCAAAGCTCTTCAAGGAAAATAGCTATGCATAGCTATCATATTACAAAAGCTAGCATGCTAACTGGTAGCTATAACGCAACAGGCACGGTCATTCGTTCGAGCGAATGATAAAACTAAGCACCGGGAAATCGCGGGAATACGGGATCATGCAACGTATAGCAATCGGAAGACCAACGGATGGGACAGGACGCAGTGGCCGTCGCGGAGGATACAGAGCAGAGGGCCAAAACGGCGCACAGGCGCCTCCTGCAGGGCCTGCTTCTGAAACGACCCACAGGCGCCGCCTGCAGGGTTCGCTGAACCGGGAGCCCCTGCAGGGTCCATTTCTGAACCGGTTGCCGGTCTCGTCCGTCCACGTTCGTCAGCTTAGGGCGGCGCCGCAGTGATGTGATCGTTAAGCTCGATGTTATACTGGTTCACATGCAATGCTTAAAATGGCTCAAGGAAATACCATGCTATGGTATTTCCATGATATGTATATATGGACATGGTTCATGGAAACACCATGATAGCCATGACGCGCAGCACGTCACTGTCAGCTGGGCTCCTTTCGCGCACTGTATGGTTTTTCGTCAGAGCGGACAGTCAGAAGCGTCTGTGCTTTTCATGGCATTAATTGCCAAGCTCTAGCAGATGGACGCGCTATGAACGTATCTTCTTTATTTCAAAATGCACGCCAATAGCAATGATACACATTCGGGGGTCTGACCCCATAACCGGTGCCAGACACAACCCGAGTCACACACACAAAGGCCCGGGGCCGAGCACGGTGCATCACCGCCCCACCGCTGACCAGCCGCAGCGCCACGCGACGGCTCCAGCTCAGCGCGGCGTCCGCGCCCGTCTGCGGCCCCTGCCGCGCGGCGCCCTCACACTGGACCGGCCGCGCACTCCCTGCCTCCCGCCGGCCCTGGCCGCGTCCGGACTCGCCGCTCGTCCGCCGGCCGCCGCGGCCCGGCCCCGGGCGCCTCTGGCTCGGCCGGCACGCGCCCGTGTCGCACCCGCCGGCCGGCGACGGCGCCCCGCTCGCGAGGAGCGCGTCATGACGTCCTCGAGTGGCGACTGCTGGCTGCCAGCTGAGGTCTCGTCGTCGGACTGGACGGCGGCTGCTGGCTGGTGGAAGCGAGCGAACGCCCGCCCGCGCGCCTTCTCGCGCTGCTCCACTGTGAGACGGGGCCAGGCGTCAGAGGACGAACAGACAGACGAGTCGACAGACAGACGGGTCAAAAGACACACAGTCAGACGCGCTGACAAACAGACAAACAAAAAAGAACATCACATCTGCCCCCCCCCCCCCCTGCGCCACATGCGGACACAGGCGGACAGCGGACAGCGACAGACCTACCGACCAACCTTCCATGAATGAAGCGCACAAGTACGGGCAGGGTCTGTCAGGGTGGAAACCGTCCGATTCCTCGCCAACATCGCAGCCCATCCACCCTCTTGGTGCTCACTAAAGCCGCGCTACCGGGACAGCGCCTGGCTGTGTAAACAGACCGTGCACAGCCGGCGGCAGCTATGGACACAGATACACGGCAGGCGGCAGCCGTGACGCCTCACGCTCCGCTGTCCAATCATGTGTTCCGGCATCGATCTCGGCCCTCTGGTTGGTGGGCGGCGGCCGCAGGCTAGACCGCTGTCCGGGGCACACTCACGTATAGAGGAGGGGGTGGGCGGCGGCCACCCGCCAGACAGCTGTCCGGAGCACACTCACGTATAGAGGAGGAGGAGGTGGGCGGCGGCCACCCGCCAGGCAGCTGTCCGGAGCACACTCACGTATAGAGGAGGAGGAGGTGGGCGGCGGCCACCCGCCAGACAGCTGTCCGGAGCACACTCACGTATAGAGGAGGAGGAGGTGGGCGGCGGCCACCCGCCAGGCAGCTGTCTGGGGCACACTCACGTATAGAGCAGAAGGTGGGCGGCGACCACCAGCCAGACAGCTGTCCGGGGCACACTCACATATAGAGGAGGAGGAGGTGGGCGGCGGCTCCGGCTGGGGGCCGCCAGTCACCGTCTTCAGTCTGGAGCTGATTTCCTGCGCCACGTCCGTACCGAGTGTTGACAGGCGGCGGCCCGCGGCGCCTGTAACACGCCGCAGTGCGCAGAGCGCTTAGCTCGCTGCAGTCCAGCCCGGTCAGGTACAGAAATGAGCAGGCTTAAAGTTATGTGAGGAGAGCCTTACTTTTTTAGCTTTGGATCTGGCCTAATTCCCAAGTTTCCAAAAATTTACAGACAGGTTGCAAGGGGCACAGTGAAAAACAACTGGGATAATAAATTGAATTGGCGACTTGGAACATAGGGATAAGCTTAAGGCCTTGGATTTGAATCCAATGAAATATTGTGGACTTAAAGAGGATCTGGTAAGGGTATTTAAGATTATGAAAGGGGTGGACAAGGTAGATCTACTTGGAGCACTGGAAATTAGGCCGAGACTCAAAGGAAATCGGCTTCATTTAGCAGAATGTAGCAGTAACTACTGAGAGACAGATGCCATTTAATAAAAGTCGTGAATCATTCAAATGTACCGTCAAACGAATTGTAGAAAGTCGCTCTCTAGTAACATTAAATAATCATTTTGTCAAGTTCCATGGGTTAAAAGATCCAATTTGTAGCCAGAGTCTAGAAGGTCAGATTAGTTTCTGAGATGTGCATGGAACATGAGGCAGGCCAATCTCGGTGGGCCATTGTGGCGCTTTATTGGTCAGATGTCTTTAAGGTTTTGTGCTTTTAGTCACAAGCAGTGTCAACAGTTCGTGATGTCATCTTCTTTGTAATCCTTGACCGCTGGCCACATTTAGCATAACGTTGGTTAAGGTGTCCCATTCGAACAGCTGCTTAAAAAGTTCTTGATCGGATAAGCTGACCCGGCTTTATGTTCAGTAACGCTATCTTTTCATATGGAACATCATTCACTCTACGTGTTGTCATTTGTTTTTTCCGCTTTGGTATTCTTAAGATCAACGTTGTTGCAATCTATCATCCTCCGTTTCGGCCTTTCTCGTCGTCGACATTGATTTCGATGGGACTTTTCCCGGCCGTTTTCTTGTTGAATATTTTGACTCACGACCACCATCATTAACCACACACGGTATTTGGCCATGTGCTCGTCAAATCCAAATACACGGAGGGACATCACGTCCCCCTACAGGGAGGGGAGGGGAGGGATATTACGTCCTCACAGGGGAGGATCATGATGTCACCATTCAGTGTGGGGAGGGGTGCCGCACCCTCACATAGTGGAGGGGCGTCTCGTTCTGGTAGCGCGGGGAGGCACCAGTCCGGACACGGCAACACCAACAAACGACGCGGGGAAGCGGTCGTGTCTCAGGCCCGCGGCTGCCTGGCCGCGGGAAGACGGGCTGGGTGCACGTCTCTGGCCGTCCAGCACCACCTCAGACGGGGTGTACAGTCTCAGACCGTCCAGCACCACCTTGGACGGGACGGGGTGTACAGTTTCAGGCCATCCGGCACCACCTTGGACGGGACGGGCTGTACAGTCTCAGGCCGTCCGGCACCACCTTGGACGGGACGGACTGTACAGTCTCAGGCCATCCGGCACCGCCTTGGACGGGACGGGCTGTACAGTCTCAGGCCGTCCAGCACCACTTGGACGGGACGGGTGTACGTCTCAGGCTCCGCACCCTTGGACGGGGTGTACAGTTTCAGGCCATCCAGCACCACCTTGGACGGGACGGGCTGTACAGTCTCAGGCCATCCGGCACCGCCTTGGACGGGACGGGCCGTACAGTCTCAGGCCGTCCAGCACCACCTTGGATGGGACGGTCATGTACAGCCTCAGACCATCCAGCACAACCTTAGGCGTGACGAGGTGCTCAGTCTCAGACCGTCCAACAACACCTTAGACGTGACGGGGTGTACGGTCTCAGGCCGTTCACCACCACCTTAGACGTGATGGGGTGTACAGTCTCAGGCCATCCAGCACCACCTTGGACAGGACGGTGATGTACAGTCTCAGACCATCCAGCACAACCTTAGGCGTGACGAGGTGCTCAGTCTCAGACCGTCCAACACCACCTTAGACGTGACGAGGTGTACAGTCTCAGGCCGTCCAGCACCACCCTAGACGGGACGGTGGTGTACAGTCTCCGGCCGTTCAGCACCACCTCTGGTGTGACGGGGTGTGCAGTCTCAAGCCGTCCAGGACGTGACGGGGCGTACAGTTTCAGGCCGTCCAGGACCACCTCAGACGGGGTGTACGGTCTCAGACCGCTCGGTCTCGCCCACGACGACTGAGTTAGTCGGCGGGGCGCCATCCACCCGCCGGCGACAGTGCGGCAGCCAGCCGGGATATGCATACCTTTCAACGGTAATGTCAACAATGTGTCGATGAACTCATCCCAACTACCATCGAGTGTACAGCAATTACGCGCATACATGTTTCTGATGGGAGGAAGCCAATTGGACGCGTGCCACACATTGCGGTAAACTAGCGGTTGTGCGGCCTGCATCAGCCATACTTGCGCCAGTTCTCATGGGCGTACCACCAGTCATAGGCGCATGGCGGCAATGCCAGAGGCTAGAACGCTGCACGTACCTTGAAACAGTTCCCGTTTGATGGCCTCGTATTTTTCATGCAGTGTGGAGAGCTGCTGCAGGCCGCCGTCCTCCAGGTACTCGAGGACGGGGCTGGGCTCCTCCACGTCTGGCGCCTCCCGCTCCTCGCCCAGCTGGTCCATCACCCAGCGGTGCCGCAGTTCCGGCGCCATCTGTGAGCGCCAGGTCATCACGTGCGGTCGCCGTCGGCCGCAGGTACGCGCTGCTGGTGCGCAGTCGCCGCTGGCATACGCGCTCGCCCCTGATGTGCAGTCGCCGTTAGCACACGCGCTCGCCTCCTGATGTGCAGTCACCGCCGGCATGCGCGCTCGCTCCTGATATGCAGTCGCCGCCAGCACACGCGCTCGTTCCTGTCGTGCAGTCGCCGCCGGCATACGCGCTCGCCCCTGATGTGCAGTCGCCGTTAGCATACGCGCTCGCTCCTGATGTGCAGTTGCCGTTAGCATACGCGCTCTTTCCTAATGTGCAACCGCCGCTGGCATACGCGCTCGCTCCTGATGCGCAGTCGCCGCCGGCATACGCGCTTGCTCCTGATGCGCAGTTGCCGCTGGCATACGCGCTCGCTCCTGATGCGCAGTCGCCGCTGGCATTCGCGCTCGCTCCTGATGCGCAGTCGCCGCTAGCATACGCGCTCGCTCCTGATGTGCAGTCGCCGCCGGCATACGCGCTCGCTCCTGACGTGTACGCGATGCAGCTGCCGCACGTGTCAGATGGCATTCTAGCGCATGCCCAATATCCAACCATTGTTGTTTTCAGCACGGTGTAGTGGTGGCAACGTCGTGTCGTCCGTAACAACGCAAGCTGCCTTGGAGAGAACTTCGTGCCGCAGTCAAGACGTGCCCAGGTGGGGTAGTGAAATGCTTACATCGGCGATCGTAGCACCGATACTTTGTATGTTGGCGACAATGGTACCAGACAATGGTACTAAACAGAAATTATTGGCGACATCAGTATGGAGAATGCTGCAAGTGTCTCAACTTGAACATGCTCTGCTTCGATGACGGCTATACAGCCACTGAGCCTTCGCTGGCTTTTACCACATTCCACTGCGCGGGGAACGTTCCCCCAGCTCCACACCTGACGGGCTGGAGAAAAAACTCGACAACGGTGCGGTAGCCTCTAACAGTGCCCAGCACTCATCACACTGTTATTGTGCATCTATCACAGCCTTGGCCTATCAGACTCGATCAAACGAGGTCACACCACGCTTGTGCAGCTTCTGCGCGCTGCCCTCGGCGGACAGGGCATTGATCAGTTGGGCGGGAGCCGGAGGAGCGAGAGAATGAGGCGATAATGGCATCTCTGATGGCGGTGGAGGGAATGAAAGGCCACCCACCGGCTCATCTCTGATGGCGGAGGAAGGGACGAAAGGTCACACACCAGCTCATCTCTGATGGCGGAGGAAGGGACGAAAGGTCACACACCAGCTCATCTCTGATGGCCGTGGAAGGGACGAAAGGTCACACACCAGCTCATCTCTGATGGCGGTGGAGGGGACGAAATGGCACCCACCGGCTCATTTCTGATGGCGGTGGAGGGGCAAAAGGTCACACACCGGCTCATCTCTTCTGGCGTTGGGGGGGGGGGACGAAAGGTCACACACCGGCTCATCCCTGGTGGCGGCGGGGGGGACGAAAAGTCACACACCGGTTCTTCTGAACGCTGATAGAGGGGGCAATGAAGCACCATTTATTACAATTGTTGTACTCGACCGTGGGCACAAAATGACCGGTGCCAAACGCACACCCTTAAACACCAAGCCGCCAACACCTCTTGTACCCAATCTGGTTACAGCACTAAACGGTAGTTCAATTCAACGAACCAATCAGTGAGGAGCGTCGTGGGATTTGTGTTCAGATTTGTGTTCACTTGTGTTCTGTTTTTTTGAACCGCTGTAAATGTGAACTTACAGGCCCGGTGACAAAAAGCGATTGCAAATGATACCTGAATAAAACATATTTTTGGCTCACTTTAATATCTATCACATTGATAATACTTATGCTTATTGTTACTTTCATTACCATGATCTCAAGTCTTAGTTTCGCCATCAATCGAACTGACAAAACCTGGCGAGCAAGTCAGGCAAACCATTTATTTAACGACCAGCCGTGCAAAACGCACCTCAGTTTGCTACATCAACACAAACTACGTTCATTCAGCAGCAGTGTGACGCCTTGCGGAGCGAGACAGGGCAGGATAAAGGGCGGGGGGGGGGGGGGGCGCAGCCAGTGGAGGCGTCTGCAGACGGCTGACCCAGTCAGCGCCTGCTCAGCTCAGGACTGTCCGGAGCAGTTAGCCGCGACCAACACAGCACCGCTGGCGCGCCGCCATCGCTGACCGGCGGCCATCCCAGTTTAGAAAATCACGCCCCATCTTCCCTCAATTGACCGGCCCGACAAAGGCAGCTCGGTCTCTCCAGCATGACACGGGCGGCGGCGAAGCAGACCAGGCGATACCACGGGGCGGGGCGTGTCGGTCGGCACGCAGGGAGACAAAGCAGATGCTACGAGATAGGACGACGCTGGACCGCGATCGCATCACAGTTAAATAGCATAAAGCGAGCAGACGCAGGTTATAATAAACAGCACATAAGCGAGACAACACCATGGTACAACGAACTTATCAAGACCTACAGAGGAACAGAGAGCTTATAGGCATCTCATGGACGTGCAAGGACCACTGACGTCGGCAGCCTCTAAAACTCCAGTCATCTCTCTCGGAATTTCCAATAATTATCCAGGAACACGGAGGACACAAGAGAACACCGAAATACGAAAGCAACCAAGCAATAATGACAGATAATACGGGGGACAAAAGGGGACCATAGAGGCCATGATACGGACGTGATTAGCCACAGTGTTGCACAAATGTATCAGCGAGGCCCAGCACGTGCTTTACATTTGACTTTCTTGCCTGTAAAACGGCCTAGTTTGCTTGTCCGATTCCTTGACCGCCTAGTGCGGTCGTGAAGAGCCGACCAGACCACTTGTCGAGTTATCACGATATCAGTCAGAGAACAGTGTGTGAAGCGAGTGTAGTAGCCCGCCTCCCACTTGTCGGTAGCATCAGTTCTCTTGAATACTACGTCACGTCGCACCAACACGCACGCAATCATGCGAGCACACGTGTGTTCACGTGAGCCGTGTGGGTCACGGGAGGCAGACGCAGACGGGGATCAAGAAAGGGGTCACGACTGCGACCGAAATCCGCACAGAAACCCAGGCAGAGAGCGGGAGAGGGGGAGGGTGTGGGGGGGGGGGATGAGGCTAGATACGTCGAGTGGAATGCATTGGTCCTTGGTGGCTGTATTTTTCACCTGTTAAAGTTGCTTAGATTTAGCATGTGTTATTTTGGAAGTTTTAGAACCGGATGTGCCCCTGCATGTGTGACATTTGCTCAATTTGTGATATTCTGCAACGCGGAATGTGTAATCAGTGTGTTTGTCACGAGTTATACAAATCTCACCATGCATCGACATTTCCACCATTTGCATTTAACATTTCCTCGACAATGCAAATAAGACAAAAGAGAGGACAAAATCACCATCCGGTGGTCGTATCGTGTCCTGGCATGCCACCCTAAAGGTTCACCGTACTATTTAGGTGGTACACCGATAAAAAAATTACCAACAAGGTTAGTTGTAGACGAGCTGTTTGGCAGGCCGGCTTCTCGCCAACTGACCAGTTCGTTCGATCGATCAACTTAACAAAGATGCTTATGGGCGCTTAGGTTTTTTTTACAAAGGTTTCATTTTTCAGGGTGTTTTGACCGTGTTTCAAAAAACCGTGTTAAAACCGTGTTTCAACACACACACGTCATCTTTACTATTGGAAAATTGCTCAATGCTATGCGAAAAACACTGCATATTGGTGGGAAAACGTAAAAAAATCAAGCAGCAGTTGTTCATCTTAGGCAAAAGTCATAACCGTTATGATTTCTTCATTTTGTCAATATTTAGTGATTTTACAGAGGAGCAAGATGCTACGCAAGCAACTCATGCCTGCTATACCGTCTGTGACGACCAAGGGAAGCTTTTCCAAGGCTGAATTGGGAAATTTACCGGGGTCTTGCGACATCGGTCGTGCGAGAAAAAGAACAGCAAAATCGGCTTCTTGGAGTTTAAAAACACGTTGATTTCATGATATGAGACCACACGTTGGTCATAAGCCATTTTTAGTCATAGGTTAGTTCATAGTTAGGTCATAGCAACACAACATTTGGCAGCCGATCTCACGACGGCTAGTGCTATCCGCAAACTGAAACTTGGTCACGCTCAAGCGCAACCAACCTCGTACCCAGCAAAACCCCAGGTTTAATAAGCTTACCACCCGACAAACTTTGCGCTCAACAAAGAACACCGCAAGCAAGGCTGGAGATATGACAGATATTAATGAGACCTACACAAACGGCGAAGGGCGGCGGGGAGAAGCGGGCGGGGCAGCCGACAGCCGGCCGACTGTGCACCAATCACACGAGCCAGCAGCTGGCGGCACGTGTCTCCGTCGGATTCCCGTCGGCGGCCCTCAGTGCCGGGGTACCGGCCAGAGGCGACAGCTCCGGTGAGGGAGGACGGTCAGCGGCTCTCAGTGCCGGCCAGGGAGGCGACAACTCCGGTGAGGGAAGGCGACCAGCGGCTCTCAGTACCGGCCAGGGAGGCGACAACTCCGGTGAGGGAAGGCGACCAGCGGCTCTCAGTACCGGCCAGGGAGGCGACAACTTCGGTGAGGGAAGGCGACCAGCGGCTCTCAGTACCGGCCAGGGAGGCGACAACTCCGGTGAGGGAGGGCGAGACCAGCGGCTCTCAGCACCGGCCAGGGAGGCGACAACTCCGGTGCGGCGAGGAGGGCCGGCGTTTCTCGGTACCGACCAGGGAGGCAACAGCTCCAGTGTAGGGAGGACGACCGGCGCCTCTCAGTACCGGCCGGGGAGGCGACATCTCCGGTGCGGGGAGGACGGCCGGCGGCTCTCGACAGTCTCAAGGCACGACAGGCCCAGCTCCGGACCACCCAAACGGCGAGGCAGCGACAGCAAGCGTGTCGACACACAGCGCATCCGGACAGCACAGCAGCAGCAGGAGTGGCCGTTCTTTCACAACAACCCTGTCACGGGTGGCCTCAACTTAGGTCTCAGGAAGGTTTCAACACACGGCGGCGGTTTCACGTCCTGAAAATTAACTTCCTATCTTTTCTTCACGCCTGCGGCAGGATATCACCGGCAGCGGACGCCGCCCTGCCGCCGCCAGATGTCGTGCAGGGCGCGCTGCTGCGGCTGCGTGCCGCTGAAGACGGCCGTCCTGCTGATCGGTGCCGTGCTGCTCGCCGCCCAGCTCGCCGTTGCGTCGGCGGCGCTGACGCTCTCGTGTCAGCACCTGGCGCACGCCGGCGAGCTGCGCGCCGTCGGCCTGCTCAGCGGCGTCGGCGCGCTGCTGAGCGCGCTGATGGTGGCCGGCGCGCTCGGCCGCCGCCGCCGGCTGCTGCTGCCCTGGCTGGTGTGGCACGGCGCGCTCCTGGCGGCCGCCGCCGGCGCGCTGTTCGTGGTCACGTTCGTGGGCATGGTGACGCAGCGGGCCTGGCTGCTGGCCGGCGGGCTGGTGGGGCTGACCGCCGCCAAACTCGCCGCCCGCTGGCTCCAGCACGTCGCGCAGTTTTACCATGGCCTCAAGCCGAAAAAGAAGCGCCATCAGGGACTGGCCCGTCGGTTTAGGTCTTCGCCAATGGTATGGGGTGGCTCGTCTAACGCGCGGCTGGCACCGTTAATGGGCAAGCGGTGTGGGGATCAACTGGAGCTGGACGATGCTCGCTCGTTGGCACCGCCGCTTCTGAGTGATGCATCCCACACACCACCGCCGGCTTTGAAGGCTAGCCGACGCTCGGCCCCAGTGGTGACAGCGCCCCTCGCGACGCCGTCACCACTGGAACCACTGCCAGCAACAGTACCTCTCATGTTATTCACGGTACTACCGGGCCCGTGTGATCGGTCACTCCCAGCACAGCACGCGGGGACCAGATCCACCCGCGCACCAGCTTCTGAGACCGGATCGTGTCAGCTGTCGCCAAACAAACAGGCTGGATTTCTCACAACATCCCCAACTCTGCAGGGCGGATCTCCCATGGCGTCACACGATCCGGAGGCTAGATCCCTAACGGTATCATGGACTCTGGAGACCGGCTGCCTCCCGACGCTGCCGACTACGGAGGTTTGAGCCCGATCCCCACGTCTGGCGCTGACAGTCCCAGCCTGTGAGGACCACCCTCGAGCCTGACGCCTGGAGAACGCTCCGCTGGGACCAGCCGACGCCGGCCGCCCGCACTCGACTCAGCGACGGCCGGCCCAGTTTCCGACGGCCACTAAGCGACAGGCGCAGCCCACAGGCGCGCCACCGCCCGAGCTACAGGGCCTCGCTGCCGGCCTGCAAGCGGCCCGGAGCGTCATACCGGACCGGCGCACCCGGGCCGTTGGTCCGGCAACACGGGGCCCTATCACGTCCCGACCTGACCTGAACTGACGGGGCAGACTGGCCGCCGTGCAGGGAATCGCTGCGTGCGGGGAGGGGGGTTACCGGCAGACGGCAGAAGACCTTTCCCCGCCCGCATTCCCGGAGAGGCACGGGCAGGATCAGTGCGTTTGTGGAAGACTGCAGGTCTTCGCTGGTCTTGAGCAAACCGAGCACGTCGTTAAAAGGCATTCATGTATTTTGACCTCGTGTTTTGACGATAAATACACTATCACGAGATTCATTAACTGCTATTTGAAACGAGTATATCCTTCTATCAGAATGTCCATGTAAACCGGTTTGTTCCTGAAGACACATTTCCAGTTCAATCAGCCCTGGCGGAGACAAAACGGCGAGCTTACCTCGTGCTGGTGAGCTACGAAGACGAACGCGCCCATGTGGAAGAGCTGGTATATGACGAAAAGGGCGTCGTGGTGGTCATCGGCCTTGGCCCGGTCTCGAGTCGTCTTCAGCTCGGCCAGCGTTTGCGGTGTGACCCGGATCAGCACCAGCTGCCTGCGGCACGGGCCGACCGGTGCCGTCAGGGGTCGAGGCGCTGGAACATCCCAGCAGGCCGCGCGGCGGGCCGGGCCGAGGTGTCGCGGCCGAGGCGCCACGCCGCACCCCACAGTCCCCAGCGGCCGGCAGGGCCACCGCTCGTGCGCACACGCCCGGCGTTCTCCGGGCACGGCCGGCAGTCCGCGGTACAGCAACTCACCGCACGGCTCCGGCCCGCGGCGGCCGGGCCGGGCCGTGCGCCGCCGGACCCGCGAGACACGGGCTCGATCTCCGCGGCCCGCCACGGGACTCATTGCTGGTCCGCAACCCGACGACCGAGGCCGTCGCCTGCGCGAGAGCGCGCACCACTGGACGATAGAGCACGCGCCAGCCCGGCCGCAGCGGCAGACACTGACCTGGCCGCCTGCGGCACCTTCATGTAGATGCCGTACAGCAGGTAGAGCGCGCCCACTTTCCTGGTCAGCTGCTCTGCAGAAACGAACAAGTTTACCACGATCTTCAGGAACTCTTGCAGGTATTCGATCAGCTCACAGATGTAAGGCCGCCCACTGTGGAAAGAACAGCCACTCTACAACTTGGCATAGGTGCTACCCGTGGGTGGAACACAATATGAACTGTAAACAAGCCACGGACAATGTCGCACGGTTTCTCAATCATAATTTTCAGACAAAGGCCTATTTTGGGTTCAGTTTGCATCTAATGATACAAATAAGCTAACATGGCAGATCGGTAACTCTTTGGGCTTTCAAACAGCCTGAGGCAAGCTGCATCAATTTGCATTGTATAACCAGTATGATGAAATAACTCAAGTGAGATACCTCAGCATGTACGAGAACATTTTTTCTCTCCAACAAGCGGCAAAGTCCTGAAACCGCATTGAGTTCTTGGACTCGAAGAGTTCTAGCAGGGCCACGCAGTCTTCCTTCACGCCGTGGACAATGTTGAGCCTCCTCGACCGCGCTGTCTCGGGCGGCTCCCTGGAACACACCCAAACGGATCCTGCCAGCCCGCACCAGACAGCTCCACACACACTTCATCGCGCCGACGGATGGCCTTTGTACAGGGTCCACTGACCTGTTGTGGTCGATGGAATACTTCGCGCGGCTCCTACGGGGCCACACGGCAACCGGATTGGAGCGGGCCTTTTCAGACCTGTCTCCCTCCCCTCCTATCGAGGGCGTAGTTGCTTACTCAGTCGAGGGGCATTACCTCCCGAACCGAGAAAAAGGGGGCCAATTTATGAAAAACTGATTTTTTCCTTGAGTTGGGGAACTGCAAGTCATTCATCCCGCCTATCGGCCTCTTATCTATCCTTGCTTCAAAATAATATATCCGTCCTCAGATATATCAAAATGTCATCAAGTGATAGTCCGCAAAGTGTTCAAAACATATTTTCGCGGAGTCTGCTTCAAAATTCTGCTCTAAAGCCACAGAAATCCCGAGACAAAGCAATCGGGGCAAAAATAGCGTGAACGCTTAACACGTACACCTTCAATACTAACCGCGTGATAACCCTGCCTTAACACGCCCGGGTGGCCGGTTGGATACCCTTCGCTCGGGGTCAATTTGACCCACTGAAATCTCAGGAACTAAGAGGGCTAGAGGCACCAAATTCACAGGGTGTGTTGACCTGTACGTGAACTCACTTAGATCAAAGTTTGAGGTTCGTAGGTGATGACCTTCGTTTCAAATAAGGTAAAACAAGGTCAAATTCCAGGTTGGTCTCCAAAGGGCCCCTTGAACCCAGACAACTGTTCTAAGCAAAAGGTCACATGCTCATTTAGGATCAGTGACCTTGTTTGACATTTTGAAGGTCATGGTGACCAAAATCATACAAGAATGCTTCGTGTTTTGCAATTGAATAAGCGACAAAAATTACGCTAGGCACTATGTTCCCAAAACCAAAATGTTGACCTGGGTCATTTCAGGTCAGTGACCTATTCTGACCTTAAAGAAGTCCATGAAACGTGTATAATGTGGCTCTTGTTATCAATGGATTCGAAATGGGCACCAGAAATTACACCATGCAGCAAGCCCTAGAGTAATAAAACAGGTTGGTTTTGACTTTGGCCTGGTCTTCATACCTGACCCTAGGTCAATGTACTTTGTTTATTCAATTGTTGTATTGCCTAAGAAAGTATCTCAGAGATGTATGACTTTGCATAACACTCCGTTGTTGGACCAAATTGAGCGATTCCCTAGAAATTTCCCACACTGAAACCATGGCTTGACTTTGACCTATCATAGGTCAGTGACTTAGCAAGGTACATCTAATTTTTTATGTCCGACGATCCGCTATTCAATTGTCTACAGCTAAGCACAATTTGGCGCGGCTACACCGCGCCATTCGGAAACAATGCCGGAAAAACCCTTGGAGGGATCAATCTGACCCCCCCCCCGCGCGCGTGTTTGAGGTGCACTTAAATCACCGGCCACGGGTGTTATTCTAAAAAGAATAAAACTAAGCCACCGCCGTGGTCACCATAGCCGCTGTCTTCCTTAAGTCAGACCACACCTGGGTCGGGAAGATGTGCATCCCACAAGGCACTTCAAAATTCCGTCGAAAAGTCAGAATCAGAGCCGAGAACACAACAGCGCTAAGAAAAACACGGCAGTCATCAAATACAAATCCTGGAAATTATTGTCTGCACTGTCAATGAAGTCGTCAGGAAAGCATTATTTCAGTCATAGAGAGCGAGGGTCAGAGTGATGAGTGGAGAGTGGAGAGTGGAAGAGTGGAGAGTGGAGAGTGAGAGTGGAGATTGGAGAGTGAGAGTGGAGAGTGGAGAGTGAGAGATGGAGAGTGAGAGTGGAGAGTGGAGAGTGAGAGTGGAGAGTGGAGAGGGAGAGTGAGAGAGAGAGAGAGAGAGAGAGAGAGAGAGAGAGAGAGAGAGAGAGAGAGAGAGACGAGAGAAGAGAGAGGGAGAGAGAGAGAGAGAGAGAGAGAGAGAGAGAGAGAGAGAGAGAGAGAGAGACCATCAGCCTTTTTTTAGTTGCTTGGGTAAGTGCTCCTTCTGGCTGAAGACCATGGCTTCAGTGTTGTATGACGAGCGGGTTAAGCAGCGAGGTTATGATGCGTCTATCCCGCACTAATCCAGATCGTGTGACGTCCTCGCAGGGAGCTCTGCTGTGCCGTCGTGTTAGGCATACATTTATATACTTCACGTTTCCCACGCCGCCTGTCCAGGATCGGTGAAGCTTGCCGATGGGACGTGGGCCAGTAAGCGGGCCGTCGTGGCCAGGAACTCCCCTCCGAATAAAGCAAGACTTTTAGGACGAAAGGAACCTACAAAGTCAACGCAAGCCCGAGAAAACCTGCGCCTGGTCGCCCCGAAATAGCGGGAGAGTGCCGGCTCGGACCAGTTTGGACCGTTTCGGACCAGCGCTTCAAAGCGGACATCTGCCACGGACCGGCCAGATAAGACAGATGGTCGCGCAACATACGGTCGGCGGTCAAGAGGGAAAACAACATAGGTACCTCCCTCCCTTCCAGATCCCCGTCGTGCCGGCGCCAAGCGAGGATTGGGTCAGAGGGGGACGCGCATAACCCGCCCACGGCAAGAGCTGGCGGACACTGCACCGCTGCCGGCGACGCGCTGCCCGGGTTCCGGCTCCGGCACACGTTGGGGGCGGAGCCCTGGAAGAAGGACGGGCAAGCCCGGCAACACATTGGACGGGGGGGGGGGAGAGATTGTGGCCAAACCATTGGGCCACGTGAGAAAAGGAGGGCCGGTCAACCCGGGGAGAAGAAATAAAAAAAATAGAACATCAGGAAGGACGATCAAAGAGGGCGGGAGGGTCTGGCAGGAGCCCAAGAGGCCTGGAGTTTGAGGAGTGGGTGTCACGGCGTCTCCACAGCAGAGGAGCACGGCACATCGGGAGCTGACGGCCTTGCATCGCGGACACGACGGCTCCGAGCTCCAGACGTCTGCAGCTGCGGTACGGAATAAAAGATGCAGCATAATTCTGAGAACTGTGCTCTGACTACTAACGTTATTGCCTCCATGCTTTTCAACTGGCCTAAGCTTTAATGCACTTTGCGAGATTTAACCAGTTGAGGCTAGCTTATTCAAACCCTTCAGTTGATCGCGCGGTGTTATCAACCTGGGGACACGCCAGCGATAAGAAAGCGGTTTAGCTTTATTTGATGTGACTACACTCAAATGTGGCGATTCAGATATGGTAATGTGACTGTGCCCGATCATGACACGCCTTGCAGAAAGAAAGCAGCACGAGCGATCACGTCCATGAGAAGACCAAATGGCAATGACTGTGTTAAGTGCCGTCTTACAGGTGGAGGCACGCCACATTGGAAATTTCATATGGAAGCTTCTGCAATTGACACAACCCATTTTCTACCAGCTAGTGAACAAGATATGCCCTTAATATAAAAAACATTCTTGCAGTAACTAAGGAATATTTGAAACCCCTAAGGAGCATCAGACATGTTATGCTGCAGTTGAGATATTTTCACTTTCACTAGTAACTCCCAGCTATGTGATAATTTATTTCTCCCGCACATACATATTGCTGTAACATCATTGAAAATTGCAAATTGGTTCAAAATTAACTGACAAGTTGCATAAAATCACAAAAAGGAGGACTGATGAGACATTTGTAAACAAAGCTTCTATCAAAGCACATACAAAAAGGACTCACTTGGGACCATCTTCATCTTTCACTTCCACAGGTTTCGCTGATGCCTCTGGACTTGCATCAGCCCCACTTGCTTGTGATGCCCCACATGCAGATAATGACATGTCTATGCTACCTTGTTGGATAATGGACAAAATTAGCCATTAATTTCCCACATGCTTATGTAATCTGAAAAAGGTAAGTCTTGTCAGCAATAAAGATAACCATGGCAAAGCAGAGAACACAGTGACATGTAGCCAAGTGAATGTTTGTAACAGCTATTCAATGTTATGCAAGATCAGCCAACTCAACCCATTAAGTGGGTCAGGCTGATTCATGTTCACTGCATAATGACAATTGTAGGAAGCAGACATGGGTGCATTTCAATTAGCATCACAAAAGGACACCAACCAGTGGAGTTCTGAGGTCATCAAAACCAAACAATGTTGGAACTAAGCAACACAGGTTGCTGAAAAGACCATGCTTTCAAATCTTGGGTATTGTGGATCTGAAAGTTACTCAGATTCTAACTCCAGACAACAAATGGGTCTTCATCTGAGCCCACAACCAGGACTTCAAGGCTTAAGCTTGGTGTGAGGTTTCTTCACTCAAGAGTTGTTGCATCATTCATTATTTTCCATAATTGACCTAATTCTGACTGCATACAATTGTTGCTACTGTTTATACCATGCATGCAAATTTTGGCAGGTTCATTCTTTGTGGCATGGTAAGGGTGTAATTTTGCCAAATGAATTGGAGCTTGATGGTGAAAAATGCTACACCTTTTCCCATGATCATGCCAAGAAACAAGGTTATCTTCACTGTCAGCCAACTTCCTTCTCATAGTCAGGGGCTAGAGTCCAAGTTGGGTGGCTGAACCTTGCCGACCCAGCTGCAAAGATACAGGTTATGCTGTATATGCACATGTCCAGCATGGTAGTACCACTGCCACAATTTCAGTGCATGTACATTGTGCACCTGAGCTCTTAGTCTCATGTACAGACAGCAATAATTTAAACAGTCAATGTTTCAAGCAGCTGTGATGATTTGATCATATTTCAGGTGAAAACACACCAAAAACATTAGTTCACACAGAGATCACGTAAAATTGTGGGAAATCAGGCCTGGTCCGCGTTCGACCTACGCAAGTGAGATTTCGAACGCACCTAACTCCCCTAGTGTCCGGCGCGGTGGGTGAATTTC